ACTAGTTTTGTCATATTGCAATTTTAGCAAGGTCAGACTCCATCTCTTCCTAAAATGTAACAAAGAAATTACATTTCTTCATCCATGAGTGCATATTTTAGTGGTTTCAGTTTTAAGCCTGCCTTTTATATTTCCTGGAGTACCATTTTCAGGTTCTCAGCCACATACTTGAATATGGAATCAAATATCAAGACATCATCCACGTAAATCAGGCACTTTTCCCATTGCAGCCCCTTCCCTTTAAGTTCTATTAGCATTTCGAAAATGATAAGTATACATATTAGTCCCAACAATCAGAAGAGCGGTAATTTACTGCTCTTGGGCAATAGAATGACAATTTGCCATTATTAGCTTGTTTATTGGTTCTGTACAACTGTAGACTTCTCCGTGACCCATGGTCATCTTGGCAGGATACTACCCTTCTAAGAGAGGTTCACTACTGCCCCAATGATCACCAACTTCACCAGTTGAAGCCCCGAGAAAGCTTGGCTGACCATAATACATCTGCTGCTTATTGTTGGTTCTCCTGCACTTGCTGAGCCATTGGTCAAAACTGATAGCCTAGCCTATCTTGCTGCGCAGCAAGGTATAAACAGTTCACTCTGTAGTGACCCAATGTTCCAAATCCAAAGCATACACTTTGTTCCTCCCTTCTTTAGTGATGTCCAGGTGAGGACATAATTTGAAGAGACTGTGGAATGAGCACCAATGGAGGACTGGGATAGCCCTGCTCATTCACTGGGAAATAATGCAGTGATATCACAGTGCCAAGATGTGTGGATGATTGGTTAACCCTTGGCAGAGTTTGAGCTCACCATGATGCAGATATCTGGATAGGATAGTTTGTTTGAAATTTTGCCACAGAAGCTACTGCTACTGACTTCTCCATGTCCTGTGATCAGTTCGAATTTATACTTTGAATCTTAACACGGTAGAAATTGTATCTCTTATTGTGAGAATATCTCTCACATCTACGTTTTGCTTCATTGGCTTTCTAGGTTGTCCTTCAAAGAACATTTTAGTGAAGATATTCTCATAATCTGTCAAGGCCATTCTAGGGTATGATTTACCATGCAAATAGTGCAGATTATCCATATAGGTTGATAAGCTCTTGAGTGCACCCCTCTTTTCAGCCTTGAACTTGGCCCCAAAGATTGGCAATGATTGTATCATAATCCCAAAATTTCACTTTGCTCAAGTGCTTAATGGAGTCGAGATCTGGACCATCCAAGTTCATGGTAAGGCATTGCACCACCTGATCTGGAAACCATCCATTCCAAGCAATTACCTGTGTGAAATGCTTCAGGAAGCAGTACGAATTATATTTTGCAATACCCTTGAATGTAAAGGACAACATCTATTTTCCCTCATGGATCTCAATACTTAGGTGAATGGTAGGTTCCTTCTCTCGGGCATTAGAGTGACAGCTTGCCAATGTTAGTTTGTTTGTCGGCTCTACTCGACTCTAGGTTCCTCCATGACCCATGGTTGTCCTGACAGGATACCTCTCTTCTCAGAGAAGTTCACTACTGCCCTATGGATCATAAACTTTACAAGTTGGAGCTCAGCGTTTCACCAGCCAGTGAAATGTCCCTGGTTAGTAGAATTTGTTCTCCAGTGAGCAGTGGCACCTCCAGTCTCTTTCAGCAGGTCTTGGTTGGCAAATGCCTTTGAGTCCTGTAATTACTTTCCCAAACAGCGTTAGACTTACCAGATGCCACACCAACACCATGACCCTCAGTCATCTGTATTTCCCTCGTACTGAGATCAATCCCAATGAAATAATTCATTTAGCTGTTTTGGGTTCCAGACATCAGTAGTTCTTTTTGAATTTTGCAGAAAAATAGAAGTAATTGATTTTCACATCATCACTAATGGTCATATATCCAGGAAATAACTTCTCTTAGATCCTGTATTTCTCTTAAACAATCATCTCCCTTCAGGGGCAACTATTCCTCTTGATCATAAGTCCTTCTTCTCGTCTAAAATGCAATTTCTTCAAGAAAGAAGCCTTTTAACTTAATAATATAATAATAGAAGTTCAGGGCAATGCATACATCTAAAGAAAAAAGAGAACTCCACAATAATATACCCACATCACAACACCAAACTTTTCTCCTTTACACCTACCCTATAGTATTCTTAGGTAAAACTGATATCTCTCAAGAGTAAAACATATGTTCCGCAGAATGACAAAGTAACTGGTTCCTCCTTAGATGTTGCATCAGTTGAAGTAGTGTAGTTAGTTGATTGGCTGATTGAAGGCTTAATTCTTCCGAAATTAATGGAATGGTCATTGCTGTGATCAATATGTTCAGTGGAGGCTTTATTTCTGACAGACCTTCTATTGTTTGATAGAACTGTTTTGATCCTGGAGACTTCAGAGCTAACCCAGCAATAGTGAGCTCTCCCATGTTCAATGCATAAGCCAGCAACTTATCTTTGCCTATGAGCTTAGCCACAGTGAATATCAGGACAACTCCCAGAGCTCTCTATATAGGTTCAATATTATAGTCAATTTCTTAACCGTAGTAGCCCCCCAGTAGCACAGCGGTATGTCTGCGGACTTACAACACTAGAATCCGGATTTCGATACCCGTGGTGGGCAGAGCAGAGATAGCCCATTGTGCAGCTTTGTGCTTAATTACAAACAAACAAACTTAAGTGTAGAAGACCTGGTCTTCAAAATATTGGTGATTCATCATTCTAGTTTGGAGAAATCATTGGAATATAATTTCAGCAACAAGAAATGAAAACCCACTGGCTAACTGAAGAAAGAGATAGTCAGATTGGTCAAGAATTTGATCTTAAATAGCGAAAATTTGGAATGAAAATTCAATATCAGGTGAATTTCAGTTGGCCAAAAGTTGAGCTAGGTACATAGGTTGAAAAGGGTCATAATGCTACATGACGACCGTGATCTGCTCTAAAGTTCTTTAGAAACTAGACTATAACTGTTTCAGTTCAATGCTAGACAGTGAAAGTTATCCATTTATTCAGTCACTTGATCAGTGAACAATGAAATTACGTATGTAAATTTCGTATTTGTTGGTTAGGCGTAAATAATATTGTTACGTCTCCGTTTGTTAATTGATTTTTCCGTAACTTCGTTCCGACGAAATTTTAACGACACAAGTCTTTACTTAATAAAACTGGTTTATTCTTTCCGAATATAACTTTACCGATACACTCAACTTCTCTCAACTTCTGTAA